ACCTAGAATGTGGATTTTCAAGGGATCTCTTTATTCAGTGGTGTCAGGACCCTAAGAACTCAATTATTCTAACTTACAGAACTACTCCTGGGACTCTAGCATGTTTCCTAATTGATAATCCTTCTGAAAAAATTACAGAAATAGAGTTGAAGAAGCGTGTGAAGCTTGAAGGGAAAGAACTTGAGGAATACTTGGAAAAAGAAAAACTAAAGAAAGAAGCTGCTAAAAAACTCAGGCAGTCAAAAGAGGCAGATATATTCTAGTGATGTGAGTGACATTGAGGAAGATATTGACCAGCCGTCAGCTCATAAGACAAAGCATGACCTGATGATGAAAGGCGAAGGGAGTCGTAAAGGAAGTTTCTTCAAACAGGCAAAAAAGTCTTATCCTATGTTTCCTGCCCCAGAAGAAAGAATTAAATGGGATGAATATAGAGAGATTATCAAACCAGAGGATTTCTTAGTGCCAGAACTTCAAGCTACTGAAGAAGAAAAAAGCAAATTAGAATCCGGTTTGACAAATGGAGATGAACCTATGAATCAGGATTTATCTGATGTTCCTACTAAGTGCATTTCCACTATGGAGTCTATTGAAATAAAAGCCAGGGTTACTTACATAGACTATGAAGGACGCTCTGATGGAGATTCCATTAAAAAAATCATTAATCAGATGAAATCACGACAGTTGATTATTGTCCATGGCCCACCAGAGGCCAGTCAAGATCTGGCTGAGTGCTGCCGTGCATTTGGTGGGAAAGATATTAAAGTGTACATGCCAAAGCTGCATGAAACAGTTGATGCCACTAGTGAAACACACATCTATCAGGTGAGATTAAAAGACTCACTGGTCAGCTCCCAGCTTTTGTAAAGCCAAAGATGCTGAATTAGCTTGGATAGATGGTGTCTTAGACATGAGAGTTTCCAAAGTGGACACCGGAGTTATTTTAGAAGAAGGAGAACTGAAGGATGATGGAGAAGACTCAGAAATGCAAGTAGATGCTCCTTCAGATTCTAGCGTTATAGCACAACAAAAGGCCATGAAAAGTCTGTTTGGAGATGATGAGAAAGAAACAGGTGAAGAAAGTGAGATCATTCCTACTTTGGAGCCCTTGCCACCTCATGAGGTTCCTGGACATCAGTCAGTTTTTATGAACGAACCAAGGCTATCAGACTTCAAGCAAGTTCTTTTATGGAAGAACTTTTATGCTTTTATTCAAGCTGAATTTGTAGGAGGTGTGCTTGTTTGCAGCAATCAAGTAGCAGTCCGTAGAACGGAAACTGGTCGCATTGGATTAGAAGGCTGCCTTTGTCAAGATTTTTATAGGATAAGAGACCTTTTATATGAACAATATGCCATTGTGTAAAGGACATGATGTCAAAAAGTATGTGCTTGATCTTTCTAAGAAAAAAGGATTCTTATGCTAAGCTTTTGCTATTTTGTTTTGTAACATACAAAAAGAACCTGCCAGAAAAACTTAACGTGTATTAGATTTTTAAAAATGTAAATAGAGAACATTTTGCTAATGCTTAAATTAGTATTCTGTCTCTTGGCTTTCAGAGTGATAGAGCTCCCAGCAAGTGTATAGGCCCAAGAATCAAAGGTGATTGGTTTACTTTAAAAACCCCTTATTCTAGAAGGGCTTTCTACTTGAATAAAACAATGCAAACCAAAAATAAATAAATAAATAAATAAATAAAAGGTATTCTACATGAGATGTCCATAGTGGGAATGTGCTACCCAGCATTGTCATGAGTTGAATGGCTACAGAGGTATCATTCACTTATTTCATTATTTATTCAGTTAATGTTTATTTGTGCTAGAAACTGGGAATACATTAGTGAACCAAATGAATATGGTCCTTTTCCTCATGGAGCTTATATGTTTTGATGAGAGATAAATCGAGTGATCATAGAAATAAACATATACTTTAACATTTGACACGCAAATAAATAAAAGTATAACATTTTATAAAAGAGTAGAGAATATAACAAGGGGACCTTATTTAGAGTGAATGGCCAGAGAGGCCATCTCTAAGACATTGATATTTAAATTGAAACATGAAAAGTAAGTAGGAATTAGTGAGATTAAGAATGGCAGGTTTACTGAGCTTGACATACAAACTAAAAGAAAACCAAAGTTCCTGAAGAATATACTAAGTTGAAGCAAGTCAGTAGTTCTCATGAATCGCGGTAAGTGAATGAGTGAGTGAGTGAATAAATGAGTGAAAGAACAAAAAGTATGACATGAAACAGGAGAAGTAGGCAGAAACCAAGTTATGTAGAGTGAGCATGTTAATGATTTAAGGTTTTATCTTAAACACTTAAATGACTTTTAAGTCATTTTAAACTGAAGAATGATAAGATCCATGTCCTCTTTGTACAAATAACATATTGAATCCTCCCCACCCCCAAAATTAAATAAATAAATAAAAGATTATTCTGGCAGTTACAAAGCAAGGATAGAAAGGACTGAGAACCTATTAGGAAGACTTTATAGAACCCAGGGTTATGAAAGGGTAATGGCATTGGAGACAGAGAGAGAGATCTCTTTAGAAATAGATTCAACAAGATTAGCTGATGAATTAATTGCACCTGGAAGGTGAGGGCGAGGGATGTAGCAAGGTTGATCCCATGCTTTCTGGCATGAGTTTCTAGGTGGATGGTTGTCTGAATCCATTTATTGTTGCTATAAAAGAATACCTGAGGCAGGGCGGTTTATTTTTTTTTTAAAAAGGTTTATTTGACTTATGGTTCTACACACTAGACAAAAAGCATGGCCTTGTTCCACTGGTGAGGGCCTCAGGCTGCTTCCGCGCAGGTTGGAAGGCAAAGGGGAGCTGTTGTGCAGAGATCCCATGGTGAGAGAGAGGAAGCAAGGGGTGGGAAGGAGTGCCAGGCTCTTACTAACAACTGTTCTCCTGGGAACTAATAAAAGTGAGAAGTCACTCTTCTTCCCCAGTGAGGCTTTATTGTATTAGGAAGGGACCCACCTCCCTGACTCAGAACCTCCCACAAGGCCTCACCAATAGCATTGGGAATCAAATTTCAGCATGGGGTTTCCAGGGAACAAAGCTCTGTGTTGTTATTGCTTACTTACTACTCTTCCTGTGAAAGACTATTTTAACTTTTTGTAATAGCAAGAAGGCTCCTTGAGGGCAGGAGCTGTGTCTTATTTACTGTTGTATCCTCAGTGCCTACCATTATGCCTGGCACATATGACATTCAGTGAATGTTTGTCGAGTGAATGAATTAATGAATGATGAAATTTTATTCTGATCTCCTGTATATTCACACCCCTGATAACAGCAGCATCACTGTATTTCTAAGCAATTCAGGGTTTGATGGCAATTTATAAATTTTTGTGGTAGTTATAAAAATGGTATTTAGAATGTTTTTATTCTTTTTTTTAAACGCTTTTCCACTAGATTTGATTAAAGCACCTTGTCATCTGAACAGAAGAACTCAAAAGATTTCAAAATTGTACACTTAAGGAATTAGAATAGATATAATTTATTTGAACGTAACTTTTTTTTTGAGTTAGATTTTAAAGCATTGTAGCCAGAATGGAAAAATAAAATTTAGACATCATTCATACCCCTGACCTGTTCTTCAGTAGGAAAATAGAGTACTTATGTCTCAGAAGATGAATGTGTACAATTCTAGCCCTGTTACTGTTGATCTTTTAAGCTGGTGGGAGCTAGCTGTAAGTCTAGATGTAGCAGATAGCCATGTTTATAAAAACATGTAATAATTCAAAATATCCTACAGAGCATATGTAAACTTTTCAAATTAGTTTGAAAATCTTTTTGATCCTACTTTATTTCCTTTTAGTGGGACTGATACTTCTGATCATCATTTGTAAATTTGGCATCAGATTTTTTAATGTTTATTTTTGTCTCATCTTTCAGTGCCTTGAAGATAGGTGTATAATACTATTAAGATGGATACTTTTTATATTGTGCTATAATGGGCTACATTCAACAGTTTATAGAAGTTTCTTAACATATCTTAGGTCCTTTTTACTTTACTTACACTTATAAGCGTCAAACTGATTTCTGTAACAGTAATGATAGATATGCTTAAGATGAGTGGCTAAATAGTCTGAAAGTATTGCAAATACAAACATGTTTCTTAGAACTGTGTAGAATCATTCAGTCTTGTAAGAAAGTACAACATTAAGTTAGCAATATAAATTGTGCTTATAAAGCAATTTACTGGTTTCTGCAGAAGTCATCAGTTTTGGTCAATGCATATAGATTGTAGATACTGTCGTTCACAGATTTTATTTTATTTTATTTTATTTTTTATTTTATTTTATTTTATTTTTTTTTTTTGAGACAGAGCCTCAAGCTATCCCTCTGGGTAGAGTGCTGTGGCATTCCACACAGCAACCTCCAACTCCTGGGCTTAAGCAAGTCTCCTGCCTCAGCCTCCCAAGTAGCTGGGACCACAGGCGCCCGCCACAACGCCCGGCTATTTTTTTTTGGTTGCGGCCGTCATTGTTGTTTGGCAGGCCCGGGCTGGATTCAAACCTGCCACCTTAGGTGTATGTGGCTGGCGCCTTAGCCACTTGAGCCACAGGCGCCGAGCCACACAGATTTTATTTTAAAAACATAAGACGTTATTGTAAAACATGTTATTGGTAAGCATACAGAAAATAAATTTTTAATGTTCCAGGCATCTGAAGAGATGTGACAGTTAAGTTCACAATGATTTTCTCTTTACCATTGGGTAATCAGTTCAGTATTTAAATCAAGCTCTGTCAGGAGGAACCTAGTAAGTTTTATTGTAGACTCGTGCCCTAATGCAGTGGTTCTCAGCCTTCCCAATGCTTCCTAGTGCCACAGCCCTTTAATACAGCTCCTCATGTTGTGGTGACCCCAACCATAAAATTATTTCCCTTGCTACTTCATAACTGTAATTTTGCTACTGTTATGAATCGTAATGTAAATATCTGATATGCAGGATGTATTTTCATTGTTACAAAGGGGTCACGACCCACAGGTTGAGAACCGCTGCTCTAATGTCAAGGAGTTTGAATCTCCTTTGTTTTGGTGACTGGTTATGAAATCAGTCACTTGACAGACCCTAAAGTGAGACTGCTGGAAGTACGTCATGTCTGCCTTCATGGTGACAGCTGGCTACAAAACAAACCCCACCAGAGCCATTCTGCAATTGACAAGGGACTTCAAAGGCCAGTGAGGCTGCCGCTTCAAAGTGAATTTCTGCCGTCTCTGGTTTGTTGAAAGAAGTTATTAAATGGCTGTATCCTACTATAGCAGAAATCTCCATGTTTAGACTTCTCCTTCATGTGATCTTAGAAAGATGTGTGAAAGGCCTTAAGTTAGGGGAATGAAGTAGTCTGCAGTGATGGCAACTCAGTATCATTCTGCATTTCAGTCTGTTAGTTAATAGAAGTTACCCAGATAGTTTCTAACAAGAGCAAGTCTAAAAATTCAGAATTCATTATGTCTGAGAAAATTCAAAACAAGAGTTGAAACTCCAGAGTATTGTTATAACAGTAATGTAATGTGGCATAAGTAAGATTGAAAACTCGTGGTGTATTTTTAAAACTTACCTTCCAATTCTCCATGTAACTTTTACCCCCTTTAGTAAGCCCTGGTCCTGAATATCGGTAGAATTGCAGAAAACACAAATCTGTAATCTCAAAGCTAATTTGCATTGTTTAAACAGACATTTCTTCACTTCTAGTAAATTTATATGTAAAATTTGAAACTGCCCTGTACTGTATTTAAAGTCGTATTGATCCTGTTATGCTGGATATAATTTTGAAATAATTACCTCATCTTTATAGCAAGCAACAGAAAAAAATGTCAGAATTTAAAAATTTCTAATAAAAGATCAAAATACTAACAAACATCTTCACGAATAACAAGGGAAAAGGAAGCAACATGAAACCTTTTTTTAGAATATTCCTAAAAGATCCCTTTGTAGGAGTCATGTCTAATATACTTTAAAAAGAAAACAAAACTTTGTAAGTACTTTGGCAGTAAAAATACGGAGATACTATATGTGATGTGAAATGGGCGTGTGGTTTAGTTAGAATTTGAAATCCTTATACGTCGATGGCATGACCTTGACATGCTTTCTCGCTCACCCTTATGTGTGATAGAAGAATAAAGTAAAGAACCCTGACATTCTTTTGCCCTGATTTTCTAATTTTTTATTTTTCTTAAAATTTCTCTTTATGTTAAAGTTTTTAAAAATTGAGTTGGCAGAAGCTTTATTTAGCCACTGTAACTTCCTTTATAATTTTGCCAGATGGGGTCAGTAGACAACTACTAAAGGAACGGTTCTTAACCGGTGGGTCATGACCCCAATTAGGAAGGTGGAGAACCACTGTACTAAAGAAATTCTGAAGCAGGACAGTAGCCCCCAGGAAATAATTTCATGACTTAATATGATCAAAAAAATTTCCAGTCTCATGAGCAGTTCATAATAGTAGTTCTTAAAATAATGCATTTGGACTTGTCTATTTTGTTCTCCTAGTTCCTTCTTCTTGAGAAATTTTTGATAAAGAAACGCATGATTATATTGTCCTAGAAGTTCAGGAG